CTTGAGGCTCTGTCTCAAAAAACAAAACAAAACAAAACAAAAAACAAACAAACAAAAAAAAGAATTAGTGTACTTTTCACCAAAACATTTACAGATAAGCTAAATGATGAAAAGACTCCTTTTTTCTGAGGTCCCTGCTTCCCCCTTCTGCCTCCTCCCCACTTGGCGGTGAATTTACCTACAGGTGTGGAGGTGGGGTGCGGAATTGTCATAAACCCCTCCAGAGGACCCCTGAGAGCTCCCCACGCAGGCATGACTCAGTGGCGCCCTTTAAGAGGATAATTTGATTGATGACGTGGACAATTAGACTTGTGAACCTGACATCCCTGTTGCTTCCAATGGTGAGGAAGGAAGTGAGAAGTCTATTTTTGAATCACATCATCGATGATGAGAAATTAGTTCTGTTCGGGGGAGAAGTGCGACCCCTCAGAAGCCAATGCTAAGTAGGCACGCAAACCAGCAGCTGTCCAGAGCCTTCTCTCTGATTGAACTTGAAACCCAGCCGTCATGTTCTCGAAAATGTACCAGGGTGTGCCTCTCATTTCCCTCCATTCTCCACCCCCGGGCCCTCTCCCCTCAGCAGGAAAAAAACAAGAATTTCTTTCTCCATAGGTGAACTTTAGGCTTGGGAAAATAATCGGAGGGGTGGCAGCTGAACACCTGTTTGGTGTTTGCAGGAAACTCCATAACCCCTAAGGTTGCCAAGCTGTCCTCTTCGCAGAGGAGGACAGGGCCTTCCCACTCCCTCCAGGCCCTGTGAGCTCTTATTGCTCATAGGGGTGGTGGTGGGGGGGGGGAGTGATGAGTCGAAGACTTGGCACTCAGACTTGAATCCCAGCTCTGCTCATTAGCATGCATCTCCCTGGGGGTCTCCAAGCCTCAGAGTGCTCATCTCTGAAATGGGCTTTATAATCCCCACCCTGCTGAGGCTGAGAGGAGCCTCCGATGAGATAGGGCTAAGTGGCAATCCAAATCTGAGGGGGAAGTCAGAAAGAAGCAGAAAAGGCAGTGCCTGCTTTCCTATAAAGCCCCTAACCTGGGAACTGTGGTATCTAGGTGGGGGAGAGCACACCCCTCCCGCAGCTGTTTGTAGGATATTACAGCTCCAGGACTCTAACTAGGTGGTAAATGAACAGCCCCTTTGGGCAGAAGAGTGAGTAGGACCACAGGAAGCTCTTGTCCTTTCTTGAAGGGAGAATGGAGACTGTTTATGGGGCAGAGTCTCAGTTTTCTGTACTATACCCACTAGGACCAGATCAGTGGAGGCTCAGACACCTCCAGAAAAACACAACCCTTTCTGGAAAGAAACAAAGCCTCAAGGAATGGTGGAGGGTGGGTGAGGGCTGCAGAGCAGATTGGGAGGTGGGTGAAGTCCCAACTGCCCTACCCCTTACTGTGCTTGCTCAGGACTAGCTAGTCTCAGAGGCCCCGGAGCTCAACCCTGCTGAGCTTCTCTGATCAACGATTCTGCCTTTAATCAAGGGCTGGCTGGAGGTGGAGTTAGGGTTTGGAAAGGGGGTAGGGGGAGAGTATTAGAGGGCAAGGGTGGAGGAGGCAGGAGGAAAAGGCTGGAGACAACATTTTTTTTTTTTGGTCTCCCAGAAAACTTTCCCCCATCACCAGCTCCTCTGCTATCCCAATGAAGCCCAGTGAGCTGGGCAGATTCCCCTTGCTTTCAGCTCTTGCCCTGGCATGTGGGGGGTTGGTTTGGGGCCATACGCAGAGCTGCTCAGTTTGGGAAAGAGCCAAGCTCGGTGGAAGCCCAGACTCTGTGTTCCAATCTAGCTGCACAGTTGACAGTCCAGTCCCTGATCCTGCATAGATTGCCTGCTACACCATGCTGTGATGACAAGTGGGCCATGTGCCTCACCTGTGTGATCCCAGGGGTCTGCACACAGAGCATGTCTCTCTAGAGGAGGAGGGAGGAGGGAGGGATGCATAGAAAGAGGAGGGGGTGCCCTACTCCTCCAGCCAGAGGCTCTCCAGCCCCCAGGGTCTGCTTGCAAACAGCAGACGGTGCTGGCTTCTCCCCAAGGGACTAGATTGGCATTTTCATGTTTTCTGTGACAGTCACCAATCTCCCCTCCCTACTGCTCCTAAGCTACCCTTTCTCAGCGTCTGCTTGCTGAAAAGAATTCTCTGGCCTCCTAAATTTACAAATGCTTTATTGAGACTAGAGCAAACCAATAGAAAGCTCTTGTCTTATAGGTCACGTTAAACAGCAAAGTCCCCTCCCCTCCCCAAAACAGTCCTGTAGGGAGTCCTCCAAGAGGGCCCAGGTCAGAAGATTGCTTGTACCTCTTGCTCTAGCTGTGTGGGGTCAAAGGCCCTCGCTGCAGCTGTTGGAGGAAGGGGCTGTGGCCAGGCATTGTAAGCACAGTGTTTTTCTGCTTATAAAACCCCGACTTCCCTTTGGGGACAGGTGTGGCATCCCTGTTTACAGATAAGAAAACAGGACTCATAGAAGTAAGTGACTAGTCCAGGGGCCTCAGCAGGCATGGGATGGAGATGGGATTAGAAGCAGATGTCCCTTAGCCAAAGGAGTGCCCTTTCAATTTAAGCCTCTGACATTTGGACTGACTCCCTTAGGTGAGAATGCCCTCCCCTGGCATCCCTCCTTTTCCCAAACTGGGAAGGCTGTGGGTGAGAAAGAACCTCGGTGGGGAAGGGAGGAACCTACGTAGGGGGCACACTTGATGGCCACTGGGGCTCCCTTTGTGCTCCACACAATCCATAGCCCCTCCATGTGACTTTGGCTGGAGCCTGGGGAGCCTTCACTCCAGGGCACTGGTCCCAAGATCCTCTGTCCCTTCTTGGCTTCTGGCTAAGAACCCAGCCCTTCCTGGTCTGCCTGCTGCAGGGGATAATTTTGGAGGCTGAGGTCAGGGACCTCAGAGGGAGGGAAGAGAGGGAGGTGGGTCAGCGAGACCTTGGCGATTGCTACACAGTGGATATTGGGACTTCCAGGCTTGGACCTGTTGATCACTCTTGTTCTAGGACAAGGGCCTTGGGCAAAAGACCTTCCATTGCTGGACTCAAGTTTCTTGACTTGGGAAAAGAGTGCGTGAAAGAGAGTGGGTTCAGGGATGTACAGGACATCCAGTGGGCATGTGGTGGGCACCCCAACTGCTTCTTCCAGCCTGCCCCAAAGCCATTCCCAGGACCCTCCATCTATCTGGGTGCTCTGTGATAATACCAGGGAATACAAACCTTCCATAAGGGACTGGGGGTTTCCTCCAGCCTCCTTGGAGCCTGCCCAGAGCAGCTCCTGGCTCACCATACGGCTATGTGCCCACTCACAGCTGCCTTTCTGGAGCACGGATTTAGGTCCAGGGCTCCCCCTGGCCTGCCTTCCCACCAGGTATTACATGGCCTGGAGGCCAAAGAACTCGCCTTGTAGGGTCAAAGTAGCAATGATCTTCTCTTCTAAGCACTGTGAGGAAGGGGAAACCATGAACTGGGGACGGGGGTGGGGGTGGGGGAGAACAGTCACCCACTCCTTCTACCTAGGAGCTATATGCAATTTATGCAAATTAGGGATTACAAATGACCCACCTAAAGATCTCCTGACCACTTAGTACCCTTCCCAGGGATGTTAAACACATTTAATCCCCTTCCAGCCTTCTCTCTCCTTACCCTCCTGAGCCTCAACATCCAGACAGGGGAGGAGGAGGGCTGCTGAACAGAGTGTAGGGCTCTCTGCTCTGGCCAGCCCAGCTCTAAGCAGAAACTAAGGTTGGGGGCTGCCGGGAGGAGGGATGCCTGTGAGTGTTCCTTCTCCCCAGGGGTTCTTCAGGAGGGCTCTAGCAGAGTCTCCAGCATCCCCCATCCCCACACCCTGGAGATCACAGAGTGAAGGCCTCCTAGTGGGTCTGGAACATGTGCTGAGTGCCTGGTGTGCACCTGTGTGTATGGGTGAGAGAGCACATTTGTGAGGCTGCCCACACATGCCACTGTGGACAAAGATGGATGCAGTCGTGTGTGTTGGGTGACTGAATAGGTGTGTTTTTGTAAGCATGTGGCCAAGAGTCTATAATTTGTGAGTTTGGGGGACTGGGTATGTGTGCTTGTGGATATTGTGTGTGTAACTGTAGGTGCATGTGTGCTCAAGAGTGTGAGTGTTTGTGTTCAGGCGTGACTAAGGCTTTTACTGTGGTGCGTGTGTGTGTGTGGGTGGATGTGACTGAATGTGTGCACAGGTGTCTGTATGTTTACAAGTGTATCTGTGTGTTTAGGTGCTGCATATGGCTCTGCGTGTGCTTCTGCGTGGAGGGGGCCACTCCATGTGGAGGTTGCCCAGGGTTTTGTAACTGCGTGTGCGCTGGCCTCTCTGTGCCCATGACTAAGCATGTGGTGCTCTGGACTGTTTCTGTAACGTGTGTCTGGGTTGCAGTGTGCGTTTGTGGTGCAGAGTGTGTGTTGTTACACGTGCATCTTCATTTTCCTGCCTCCCCATGGCTGGAAATACTGAGGGCATAAGGCTTTTCCTAAGTGTTTTTCTGTGTGCGTGCTTAATTATGTGCATATTCCACATCCTTACAGTGTGTGTGTGTGCTCTTCTGGGTATCTGACCCATGGCATGAGTGCTTGGGACCTTGGCAATGAGTGTTTTGGTGTTTCTGCGAGCATTTCTGTATTCTGAGTACGCACTTGTGTTTTCCTAGGGGTCTGCGGCCCATCTGGGGTTTGGTTCATGAGACTTGTCCTGAGCGGGCCTGTTTGTGCACACCCGTGTGCTGTCCTGTGTGCGCAACGTGTGCCCAAAGTGCGCGGGGTACCTGTGCCCGTCTAGCCAAGAGTGCACCCATGTGCGCAATCGGGCTTCCGGGCCGCTGCAGTGGTGGGGGGCGGCCCCGTGGGGGG